CTCTAGGTTGAGATGTAACCGATATTAAAGGCTATATAGTCTTTGCATTTTTTCAGTAAGTGCTTCAAGTCTTCTTTATTTTCTTCAAACAAGATCGTGCCATCTGCACAATGCAAGCTACTGATGTGTCTTCCCTCATTTTGATGCCACATTCTTCATGTAGTCTAGCTTCTTGAATTATTTGGTTAGCATACATATTGGAGAGGCATGGTTAACTACAAAGCCTTGATGCACACCTTTCCTGATCTTAAACCATGAAGTGTATCCTTGTTCTGTTTGGACAACTGATTCTTCATCTATGTATAGTAAGCAAAGGAGTACAAGTATTCTGGGATTCCCATTCTTCTCAATGTTAGCCATAATTTGTTATGATACACACAGTCAAATGCCTCTGAAAACTTAAAACACATCTTTCAGGTATTCTCTGCTTTCAGTCAAGATTCATCTGACACCAGGACTACTATTGAGAAAAGTGGAAACCAAGATGACCTTTATATATGAACAATGAGTGATTTACTCATTGAAACTACTTTTTAAAAAAACCTTAATAGAAACTACATATATGGACCTCACCTGATAGAGTACACAGGAATCAGATTAACCAGGTACAGGGAAAGACATATTGGAGAAGTTCAGTATAAAACAAGGTCAGGGTATGATCATAGAACATACTCAAGTATTCATCTGCAAGTTCAAATTTAAGGTGAAAAAAATTAAAGCAAGTCCACAAGTACAAAATTACAACCTTGAGTCTATCCCAACTGAATTTAAAATAGCTCCAATAACAAAGGAAACTTTTAGTGGCTTACTGGTAAAAAAATTGCATTGCCAACCTGAAGACATACAGTTTGAATCCATTAGCTTCTCTGCAGGAGAAAGCCAGTTTCTTCCTGTATGATTAACAGTCTCAAAAAACCCATTTAAGGGTCACTATGAGTCAATTTCACCAAGTCCATGCTGTCCAACTACTGATTCTTCTTCTCTGTTCCCAACTTTTGCATTCCAGTCACCCATCACTAGTAGAAATCATCTGTTGTCTCTTCTTTGTCTCTTGTTGTTGATACATATATTTTAATGATAGTGGTATTCACTGGACTTCTTTCTATGCATATGGATATTATCCTGTCACTCACAATATTATATTTCAACACACATCTAGAAATGACCTTTTTAACTATGAAAGCAACCCCATTTTCCCTCACTTTTTCATCTCCAGCATAATAGATCATATGATTCAAAATGTCCCATGGCAGTGCATCTCATCTCGCCAATACCTAATATGTGGATATTTATGTATTCCAGTTCTCCCTTAACAATATCTAATTTTCCCACATTCATAGTTCTTACATTCCATGTTCCAACCACTAGTGTCTGCTTATAACTGTTCCACCGCCTTAGTATGTCTATACTTGAAAGTTCCACATCTGTTTCCCTATCTGCTAGTCTAAGTGTGTTCTATTGTACATAGGGTTTTCAAAGTCCTGCTATTTCAGAAGTGGATGGTCAATCCTTCTTCCTAGTCTCTCTTAATCTGAATGCTCAGATTTAGAAAAGAAGGATCAGTAGTTGGAAAGCATAGACTTGGTGACAGAAATGAAGCTGGAGATAGGACTATAGAATTTTGCACAATTAACAATTTATTCATTGCAAATACATTTTACAAGAAACATAAATGCAGAATATATATATGGATTTCACTTGATGGTAAGCATAGGAATCAGAGAGCCTAAATCTGTCGAACGAACCGCTGGAGAAGCTCAGTATCAGCTGTGAAAACTAGGCCTGGTGCTGATTGTGGAACAGATCACCAACTACTCATATGCAAGTTTAAGCTGAAGCTAAGGAAAGTGAAATCAAGCCCACAGTAACCAAAATATGACCTTGAGTCTATCCCACCTGAATTTCAGAACCATCTCAGGAACAGGTTTAGGGTCTTGAACACTAATGAGCGAAGACCAGATGAGTTATTGAGAGATATCAAGAATATCATCCAGGAAGAGTGCAAAAGGTCATTGCCAAGGCGGAGGAGGAAGAAAAGACCAAAATGGATATCCAAAGAGATTCTGAATATTGCAGTGGAGCGCCAAGAAGGCAAAGAAGAAGGAAGAAATCAAGACATTAAGGAGCTGAACAGGAGATTTCAAAAGGCTGTGTGACAAGACAAAATAAAGTATTATAATGAAATGTGCAAAGAGCTGAAGTCAGAAAATCAAAGAAACCAATCTCAGCATTTCTGAAGCTCAAGGAACTGAAGCGGAAATTCAAGCCTCAAGTTGCAACACTTAAGGATGCTTTGGGCAGAATATTTAGTGATCCTGCAAGTATTAAAAGAAGATAGAAAGACTATACAGAGTCCAAAAGGAATTAGCAGACAAAGAAGAATTTAATGAAACAATATATGAGTAAGAGCCTGTGGTGATGAAGGAAGAAGTTCAAACTGCTTTGAAAGAACTGGGTAAGAATAAGGCCCCAGGAATTGATGTATACCAATTGACATATTTCAACTAACAGATGCTGCCCTTGATGTGCTCGAATCTGCAGGAAAACCACTTGGCCAACTGACTGGAAGAGATCTATATTTGTCCCCATTCCAAAGAAAGGTTATCCCACAGAGTGTGGAAATTACAGAACAATATCATTAATATCACACGCAAGCAAGATTTTGCTGGAGATTATCCAAAAATGACTGGAACAGCACATCAACAGAGAACTACCAGAGTGCAGGTTGGGTTGAGACAGGGCCATGGCACTAGGGATATCGTAGCTAATGTTAGACGGATCTTGGCTGAAAGCAAGGAGTACCAGAAGAATGTTCATCTTTTTTTCATTGATTATGCAAAGGCATTTGACTGTGTGATCATAACAAACTGTGGCTAACTCTGAAAAGAATGGGAATTCCAGAACACTTGATTGTTCTAATGCGAAACCTATACTTGGAGCAGTAGGCAGTTGTCAGAACAGAGCAAGGAAACACAGCATGGTTCCAAATTGGGAAGGTTATACAACAGGGCTGTATCTTGTCTCCACACATTTTCAATCTTTATGCAGAACAGGTTATCAGGGAGGCTGGGCTCTATGAGGAGAAATGTGGCATCAGGATTGGAGGAAGAATCATCAACAATCTGCATTATACAGATGACACAACCCTGCTTGCTGAAACTGAAGAAGACCTGAAGCTCTTGCTGTGGAAGATCAGGGACTGCAGTCTTCAGTATGGATTGAGACTTAGTATCAAGAAAACAAAGATTTTCACCACTAGGTCGATTGGCATCATCAGGATGGATGGTGAAGAGATTGAGATTGTTCCCAGTTTTGGTTTGCTTGAATCCACAGTCAACACTCTTGGCACCAGCAGCCAGGAAATTAAAAGACGTATTGTGATGGGAAAGTCTGCTCTAAGGACCCCTCCAAAGTACTGAAGAGGAATGGTGTCACTCTGGAGACTAAGGTGTGCCTGATACATGTCGTGGTCTTTGCAATCACTATGTTATGTATCAGAGAGTTGGACAATTACTAGAGATAATAGAAGGAGAATTGATGTCTTTGAGTTGGTGTTGGAGAAGAGTACTGAATATACCATGGACTGCTAGGAAAACAAACAGGTCTATCCTGGAGAGGGTGAAGTCGGCTGCTCCTTGGAGGCAAAAATTCTGAAGCTTTGTCTGAGACTTTGGACATGCTGCAAGGAGGGACCAGTCCTTAGAGAGGAACATCATGCTTGAGAGGATGTAGGGACAGCGCAGGAGAGGAAGACCCTTGATGAGATAGATTAATTTAGTGACAGGGTAATGGGGATAGGTATGTCAGAGATGGTGAGATTGGTACAGGTGAGATAGGTCAAAATTTAGGGCTGTTGTACATAGGGTTGCCATGAGTTACAGGCGACTTGACGGTACATAACAACAACAACATGAGTCAATTATGACTCCATAGTACACAACAAGAACAATATTTCTGTTGTACTGAACACTGATGGCTGAAGACCAGATGAGTTGTGGAATTACATCAAAGACACCATCAATGATAAAAGCAAATTGTCACTACAATGACAGAGAAGAAAGAAAAGACAAAAATGGATGTCAGAAGAGACACTGAAAGCTATACTGGAACAAAAACATATAAAAAATAAGGCAAAACAAATGGAAGGAAAAATGAAGTAAGAAAGCAAAAGAGAAGATTTCCAAGTTTATCTAGCCATGGACTTCTGAAATACTATGTGCTCAAAAACTCTATGAAATACTGTAGGATACTATACAATCTATTCTGATATAGTGATAGAAGATGAGCCCATCATATTGAAGACACTCAAAATAAGACAAGGTAAGGGTTGTTTCCTCAAGGCAGAGTTTAGCTAAATCACATGGATGAAGTACAGTAAGCAGTCAATAGAGAGCATACATATGCTAATACAACATGGCTCAAAATGAGGACAAATAGCTGAGAATATCCATTAATAACTGGAACACAGAAATCACAATAAATGGATCTAGAAAAACTGGAAATTGCAAACAATAAAATTGGAAAAATAAAGAACAATATTCTAGGCATCAGTGGGCTGAAACTGGCTGACAGTGGCTACTTTCAATTAGACAATATTATATTATTCTGGAAATGACAAATTGAATAGAAATGCTTCTGGTCAGTGAGCTATGAGTTGGTTCTGCCACAACAGCAATGAGTAATAATAAAACACTAAGTTAGATACTGCTTTGGTATGTGGTAGAAGAAGTATCCAAAGGCTTAAGAAAATGGATGTACTAGAGTGGATTTATAATTTAGATCCATAGACCAACACATAGAAAGATTAGGGAGCACATCTTTTATCACAACGGTGAGGAATAAATTTGTGAAGAGAGTGTCAGCATTCATGAAGAAAGACTTGACAAAGAGAATTGGTCTAACTAACACACATAACTTCAATGGTGCTGACTGCATCTCTGGGGCAGTAGCTAGGTGAAAAGACTCAACTGAAAAAAACAACAACAAACAAACAACAAAACAAAGGAGTGTATTTACCCTAACAAACAGAAGAGTTAAAGCAATAGTCAGAATTGCATGACCTGTATAGAATAATATAACTTTCATGGCATTGGGTATTTTGTAGTAAATATATTGGGTTGCAATATTTATAAACAAAGAACTACCAGAAGTACAGGCTGGATTTAGAGATATATGGGAAGCCTATTACATATTTAAGTGATTTGCATATGTGGAAAGAAGCCCTGGTAGTTTTGTGCATAATGTATTGAGTTGTTAACAAAAAGGTAAGCAGTTCAAAGCCATCACCTGTTCTTTGGAAGAAAGTTTATCAGTGTCTTCCTGCAAGGATTCAGAACTTTAGAATCCCCAGTGGAAAGTCATTATGATTCATAATTAATTCAACAAAAGTGGAATTGGTTTTTCACTTATTTACATGAAGAATTATTCGAGGTCAGAGTAATAGTTGTACAACTTGAATCACTGGAACAGAGTTATCACCAGTTCTCAGACCACCAATTCTTGAGTGAAGGGGAGTCTATATCCCCTTAAGGAAACACTCCACTACAATGCCAAAAACATGAACTCCCAGCTTTCTTCAAAGGGATCTATAGCTTTTTATAAAAGTTATTGTTCATAGGAAATAATGACTTTTAGAGGAGTAGCAAATATTAGCTCTAAATAGATCCTAATTCCAGGAGACCCAAAACACACTGTGTCCCACCAGAGTGATGACATGTGGATGTCAGATTATTGATGGAATCTTAATTCAGGCTCATCTTTCAGTGAGCCCAGTGGGTTCATGAATACATCCTGTGTTGTATTCACCAGTTCCAGAATACATAATTTGAAAATATATAATCAGCAACTGTCAAACTCTAACATTGGATCTCTGATACGTGGAGTAATGGTTAATTATGGAAAATTAAAAAAAATCACAGTGAAAGATATATCAGAACTATTTCTATCTAGAAAAATAAGTAACCAAAAGTAAAACCATATTTCTGGAGGAACAGTATAGACCTGAAGGACTCAATTCAACTATTTAACTCACCTATTTAGCTTCTAGAAAGGTCTGGAGGCTTTGTGATAAGAAGCTGTGCTATAATCTCAAGGATGCAAGAGTTGGAATTCAACAGTTGCTCCAAAGGAGAAGGATGGACAATTTCTTCCCATGTGATTACTGTCTTCGAAAATTTGCTGGAGGATCAGCTATGAGTTGATTCCAATTTAAAGGCACAAACCAGCTGCATTTTGCATATAGGGAGCTCTGGCGACTTATTCTACAGAAAGTTACACTCCTAGCCCATAGGCCATGCCTATTGTTTCCCCCAAGTCAGATGGGTAATGTACCTATGGCGTAACAAGGTTTAATGGGTGGCCCATGTCATACAGAAGTATGAACACCCAATCATCACGCTTATGAACCATGAACCAGTCATGCCTCTTTAAAGGTTAGAAACCACCAGCGGTTCCAAAGGGGAATGATAGGCAACCTTCTCTTGCAGAATTTGTAGTCTCAGAAATGCCAGTGGAGGGTCATATATAACAATGAATGAGTACTATAGCTAGAGCAAAAAGTTGACAGACCATGGAGAATAACCATTAATTATTATAAAAGTAACAAGGTCGTAGCTCCAACTGTAGCTACTCTTCCAGATATGGTTTCCTCACTTAAACAAATCATTATTTGATCATTTCATTGCCTGACTCATCTCCTAGTACCTCATATGTAGTTATCAATTTGGTCAATGTATTTTTCTCCATTTCAATTTTTGAAGGATATTAGAAAGTTTGTCCTTAGCTGGTAAAGACACCAATAAATTTCTACACCACATATTTACCAATTTTTCAGTAATTTGCTGTAATTTAGTCCAAAAGGATTTTGACTGCCATTCCCGGGCACATCACATTGATGGCATTACACTGATGACATTATGTGAACTGCATCTAATAAATAAATAAATAAATAAATCGTATCAGTGACTCTAAACTAATTTGTAAGACATTTGTGTGATAGAGTGATTAATAAATCCAACAAAAATTCTATTACTTTCCAACTCAGTGAAATTTCTAGTTCAGTGGTCTGAGGCATGCATATATGTTACATCTGAAGTAAAGCATAAAGTTATTGCATAGGACACCTCCCAAAGTATCATTAATATCACATGAAAGAAAGATTCTGCTGAAAATGATCCAAAAATGATTGGAGTAGTACATCAACAGAGAACTGTCAGATGTGCAGGCCGGATTTAGAAGAGGCCATGGTACTAGGGATAGTATAGTTAAAGTTAGATGGATTGTGGCTCAAAGTGTGTACCAGAGGAATGTCCATCTCTGTTTCAATGACTATGCAAAGATATTTGACTGTATGGATCACAACAAATTGTGTCTAACCTTGAGAAGAATGGGAATCTCAGAATGCTTAACTGTACTCATATAAAACCTATACTTGGACCAGGACACAGTCACCAAAACAGAGCAGGGAAACACTGCATGGTTCAGGATCAGGAAAGGTCTATGTAAGGGGTACATCCTATCTCCATACCTTTTCAATTTGTATGCAGAACAGATCATTCAGGAGGCTGGATTTAATGAGGAGGAATGTGGCATTAGTATTGGAGGAAGACTCATCATAACTTATGTTATGCAGATGACACAACTTTGGTTGCTGAAACTGAGGACATGAGGCGCTTGCTGCAGAAGATCAAGGCCTGCAACCATGATCTTGAATACGGATTGAAGCTCACATCAAGAAATCAAACACTCTTACCACTGGGTGAATTGACAGAATTATGATAGATGGTAAAGAGATTGAGATTGTTAACAGCTTTAGTTTGCTTGGCTCCACAATCAACACTCTTGGTACCAGCAAACAGAAAATCAAGAGATGAATTACACTGGGAAAGTCAGCTGTCAGGGACCACTCCAAAATGCTGAAGAACAATGATACCTTTGTGGAGACTAAGGTGCACCTGATCCAAACCATAGTTTTCACAACTGTTTGCTATTTTGCTGAGTCAGAGAGCTGGACAATGACTAGGGATGACAGAAAGAGAACTGATGCCTTTGAGCTGTGGTGCTGGAGAAGAGTGTTGAATATACCATTGACCTCCAGGAGAATAAACAGGCTCATCCTAGAGAGAGTGAGACCAGGCTGCTCCTGGAAGACAAGTGTTCTGAGGCTTCAACTGGCATACTCTGGGCATGTTGCAAGGAGGAACCAGTCCTTGGAGAGGTACATCAAGCTTGAAAGGGTAGAGGGATGGTAAGAGGGAGGGAGACCATCTATGAGATGAATTGATACAGCGATTGGGGTAATGAGGGTAGGTGTGTAAAAGACAGTACGTTTGGCACAGGATAGAGCAGGTTTCATGGCTGTTGTACACAAGGTCACCATGAGTCTCAAATAACTCAACGACACAGAGCAACAACAACATCTTCGCTGTGGTAATGATCACATGAACCTATTGCTGTTGTTCTGTATCTTCAAGTACAAACACCCTCAAAGTTGACCATCCAGTGGGTATTCAGAGGCAGTTAATCTCAAGAGCAGTGAATGTTAATCTTTGTGGTGCAGAGCAACTAGTAGATTCGAACAATTTGCCTTTCGTTTGGCAGCATAACTAACTCATTAACACTAAGTCATGAGAGATCCTTATGGATCGATGTGTTGTTGTTAAATATATTTATAAAGCTGAATGTAAAAAAATAAGTCATTTAAATTCATAATTTTTTATTAAAATTTAAAAATAGAAAATGCCAGATTAAAAAACAAAAATGGAGGAGGACTGGATGTCTAAAGGCAACTCACGGCATTATGACTTTTGCCAAATAATTCATGTATGCTGAACAACACTGTGAATTGATCAAACAGTGAAGCAACACAGTTTCTGCATCAATCAAAATCTCATTTAATCTTCAGAAATTGAGATTTTATAGTGTCATTAATGTGTTTTACTGTGCCTAGTTTACTTTAAAAGAATAATTTAAAATGCCAAATAAAATTCAGAAATCTACATTTCTTGGCCTTTTTTTACTTCCTTAAAATTACAACTTTTAAAAACTACATAAAATTAAATGTTAACCGAATTACTATTTCTTAAACATGAAACATGTCAAATAGCTAAGTTATGAATTGACCTTACACATTAACTTTTCCTAGACTTTTCTTCTTACATAAATTGACACAATTTAACTTATAAAAATAATTATTCCTTCTGGTTTTTTTGCTTACTCTTTTAATTTGTGTTGCTAAACCCTATCAATTTATCTTTCCTGAGGGGACCTTAGTTACGTATTTTTTAATCACATTTTCAGCAAAATTTAAAATTTCAGTTTTCATTTATTAAGACTAAAGTATTTAATAGTATAATATTAAATTTTATATTCTGCAATATATACTTTGAAGTTAATTTACACTATCACATAAAAATCAAACTGAACTTTCGTGTCAGCAGCCAGTTTAAAATTTAATAAAAATTACCTATAATTGTACTCTGTAAAAGTTGAGGGGAAAAAAATCTGATCTTACTGAAATATTCAATGTACTCTTAATTGAATCTTGGGTTACAAGCAAAATGAGTTCACTAATTGTTTTAAAAAGAATATATTATGTGATGTTGTTTCTGTCTACATCTGTATTCTGATGACACTGTTCATATTCAAAAGATTTGTTTTAAATAAGGACTGCTATTTGTAATGATCAAGTAAATAAAAAAGATAACCTACTAAAGAGTTTATACAGAGATCCTCAAACTTGTAAATTTTTAAAGTTTCTCAACTACTGGTTTGAATTGGTTTACATGGTGTCTAACATTTTATTGTTTAATTCCTTCACTCACCTACCATGTAACATGTTATTAGTAGCACAGGAATAGTTCAAATCATAAAGAAGAACACTATCTTACAAAATCACAGGAAAGTTAAATTGATCTTCAGATAATTTTTGCAAGTTGACATAGATAGTCATATCAATAGCAGATCTTACATACTGGCTGAATAAAAATATTTATTGAAATATTAAAAGCAACCACTTAAACTAAACATGATGAAAGTAAATTTTTCAGTTTATCAGATTTACTGAGAAAATTATTTCAACTTAACCCCGAATAATTATAAATTAATCTTAAATAATAATAAATTAAAAATGTATATGACAAGCAGTCTAGTCTCAGTATTATAAGGTTAATATGAACAAAATTTGCCAAATATTGGCAAAGAGGCATTTCTAAACATTTTTCAAGCACAGAAAAAATTATGCATGTCAATTATAATAAGGTTCCTTGGTTAGTAAGTTTTCCCAGAGAGAAATTTCATTTAAAGATATACTCTCTTTTTAATCTAGAATTTAAGGTTAGCTCCACTCCCCAAGCATCAATGTTTTAAAACACATAATTTTTAGTAAATTCTGGTTTTTTTTTGAAAACAAAACAAAACACACCATTACCTGCTTCTGAAGCCATCTTTCATGCCTTCGTTGTTTTCTTCTCAGATTCTTCAACTTGCTCCTTTCTCTCTTATTAAGCCGCTGGTTAATGGCGCCCAATGAAAAACTTGCCGAGTTTAAGAAGTCCAGAGGGGAGAGGTGTTCTTCCTGGTCTGAAGCCTCCAGCATGTTCCTGCTAGCTGAAGGCAGGTCCATCAGGAAAGCCAGGTTGTTAGGACTAGCATGTTCAGAGTATACTGCAGAAGCTTCTAGATTACACTGAAATTCTTCTCCTCTTTGTGTCTGGGTCTCATGGGGAGCCACTGAAAATCTTTGCAGTAGCATATTAGGATCAAAACTGGATGGATTCTGGAAGGAACAGCTATTTTTACTACTTTCTAAAGGCAAGCCAGAAAGGTCAATAGTCTGTGTTTCATTTAGCCTAGAATAGGCAGTAGTCTTACTATGTATTTGATACAAAGTAGGTAATAAAGTCAGGTTCTCACTGATGTTCAGATCCAAACTATGTGATTTTCTATGAAAAGCTCTTGCAGTGCATCTGCCAGTCACAAGCTGGGGAACAAAAAGCTGGTATTTTGGATCTGATGCTTTGAAGAGCAGTTTTTCATTCTTCATCTCAAAGTACGCAGATCGTGCCTCCAGGCAGAGTGCTTCTGTTAATCTTCCAGTACCATTATTATCTTGGGTCATGTTTAAAAGCCCGTGATTTCTTTTTTTGGAGGTTCCACCTGTCAGCAGAGTTCTCCTGTCACAACCCAACTGAACTCTAGGATGTGACATGTATTTCAGCGATGGTCTCATTAGTCTGCCTGCCCGTGCTGGCTGATAATCGGTCCGGTTCTTGGAGAGATGTACAGCTGTGAGCTGGCCACAGGAGCATTTTGGAGTGCTGACAAAATTAAAGCCCCCTAAACGGGCCCCACAGAAAGGACAATTCAGTTTTCCAACTGTCCACTGGGTCTACAGGTAATGGGCGGGGGAGAACAACAAAGACAAGGCTTTCATTGCACAGTAACCAAAGAAAATGTGAGTAAAAACTAAAAATAAAAACTCACCAAAAAAATTACTACATGAAAGTTTTCTATCCCACAGAAAAAATTAGTCTTCTGCTTTTTCTGATTATTAGACAGACCAGCAAATGGAAACAAGTCTTTCAACAAACAAAGATAAGCAGTTTTATATTGGAAATCATGACTATCCAAACAATATTCCCAAGAATTCTGAAAAAGTCTCTAAAACAATGGATTGAATATGGGTACAGTGTGAAGTAATGAAAAGAAAAATACACTATGGAACCAGGAAGCAAATCAGTCTACAGAGCTTAATTTGCAAGTAAAATCTCACAGAAAAGTGTCTGTTTTGATACACTTCTTGCATACCAAACACTATGGGAGGGAACATTACCAAAGCAGCAAAATAAAGCTCTTCCTGGCTTTTAATACACAACCAAAAGATGTTAGATGCAAATATCAGGTAGCGTATTTTCTAGGCTCTAAAATTATTTTGCAAAATTATGAAATGGTTTAAAATGATCTTTGCAATAAAGGTAGTAGATAATCTGTAGTGTCCTAATAAATTTCAGGCCACTTAAAGCCATATGTTGGCATTTCCCCAGATAATCAAAACCGTGTGGGAATGGATTCAAGCCATATCTATAAATGTTAATTTTTTATATAAAAAGGTAAAATATATTTTAAATTAGCACAAAAAGCAATTATAATAGTCTAAAAATCATAACACTCATACTTTTCTAGTACTTTTATGTCATGCATTGTAAGAAATAATAAAATATTATTAATAAGGTAAATCTAGTGGCATTTAGTTTCTAACGAAGAGGTCAGTAGTTCAAATTCACCAGCTGCTTAGCAGAAAAAAGATGGGCTATTTCCTCCCATGATGACTGATAGAAAGTCACTGGAGGCTGGCTACAGACATGACTCAATGGCAGTGGGTAAGGTGGACTCTTACTTCCATAATACTTCATTAAGGACTCTTAAAAAGGAACTATATTTATTTTTATGGCAATGTTGTTGTTGAGCACTGTCATGCTGGAACCAATCTATAGCTGATCTTGCAGTGGGTTTTCAAAGGCAATAAGTCGCACAGGAGGAGACTGCCTAGCTTTCCTGCAGGGCAGCTGGTTGGAAACTACATACTTCTGCATTGGCAGTACAACCACTAAGCCACCAGTGATTGACTTTATGTGTGTGTATATATACTTGTTTATGGGAATAAATGAACAGTAAATATAGGATAAAAATGAACAGTAAATATAGGATATTTCATTCACTCAGCAGGTACTGCTTCAGGTACTAGGTATAATACAATGAACAAAATTTCAGTCTCTGACTACATGAAGCTCATATACTATTGGACGAGCTAAACAATAAGTAAACTATAGGTGTCTGGGTGTGTGTGTGTATATATATGTATGTGTGTGTGTGTATATGTGTGTGTGTGTGTGTGTGTGTGTGTGTATTAGTGCATTTATTTGTATATAACATAGATAATTATTGATAGGAAATTCTGGTGACCAAGCATTAAAAACAGACTCAACCTGGTTCAAATCCTCCAGCTGTTCTACATGAGAAAGGTGGACAATCTGTGTGATTTACAATTTCTTAAAACTCACTGGAGGGTCAATTATTATTTGATTCCAAGTCAATATCACATAAGGATAACAATAGTATGTATTATAATATAAAGACAGCTATAGAAAGAAGAGAAGGGAGAAAGGAAATTGGAAGATTAGGTGGCCAGAGAATGTCTCACTGAAAGAAATTTGACTTTCAAGCTGACTTCAAACTCCTCTTCTGAGGCTTTAAATCTTTATGGAAGGAGACTACTCACCTTTATTTCTTTATAGAGTAGCCCATGGAGTCAAACTACTGACCTACAGGTTAGCAGCACAATATGTATTACACTGCTGTTGTTGTTTACCATAGTGTATTACACTATGTCTCCTTAAAAAATAACCCAAGAAATAAATTTTTTATGTAGCTTTCCCTCCCTTCTCACTTCTGTTAACATTCAAAGTTTGATTCTACTTAGGTAAACCTTTTCTTCTTGTTGCTGTCGTTGTGTACTGTTAAGTCTGAACCCAACTTTAGCAGACCCTCCAGCAGGTTTTCAGAGGCAGTAATTGCACAGGAGGACATTGCCTAGCCTTCTTCTGTGGAGCAACTGGTGAATTTGAACTGTGTGCCCTTGGGATTGCAGCACAGCTTCTTACCACTAGGCCACCAGAGCTCAGCTTTTACATAATAGTGTTCCTATATTACAATTGTCCTTTTATGATTGTCTTAAGTTGCAAATGGAATTGATAGGTAAGGTAAGTGAAGGGAAATTACAATATACTATAAGGAGTTAATTAGATATTATAATTAATCAATCATATTAATTATTGGTAAATAAGTCTATAAAACAAAATGATAAGAATGATTATATGGAAAAAACATATAGGAGAAATAACTCTAAAAATAAGAATGAAAAGTTTTTCAAGATTCTATCTTCCTACATTTACTCAGAAACCAAATAACTTACTTTTTGTATTAGGCAGTTTATCCATTCTGGAAGGGCTTCAATATTCATATGCCATACATGACAAACATTCTGAGCATCAGTTGGATCAAGTCTATCCTGTTACATCAAAATGGACAGTATTAACTAATTACCAGTTTAGAATTAATTTCACAGATTTTTATTTAAATTAAGCACAAACATACAAATTTTAGTATTAAGGAAACATACACTCCCATTCTCACCTTACTTCAGTTAATATGGAAAAGAAACTTTCCAAAGTAGACCCATTTTTTTTCAGGAATTATGATTTTTAAAAATTTTTTAACTGATAGACTCTTATTATAACCAAATTTATCTAAATTTAGATAAGATTGAAAATTCTGTTTCTGTTGTTGTTAGGTATTGTTGAGTTGATTGTGTCTTACAGTAATCTTATGAACCACAGAGTGAAACCTTACCTTATCCTGTAACATTTCACAAAATCTCTGCTATGCTCAGGCCCATTACTGTTACTTTGGCATTCCATCCCATTGAGGGTCTTCCTCTCTTTTGATGACCCTCTTCTATTCCAAGTATGCCATCTACTTTCAATGACTGTGCCACCTGACAACATGGCTGAAGTATCTGAGATGCAGTTCCATCATCCTTGCTTCCAAAGAGCACCTCGGCTACACTTCCTCCAGGAAAGATTTGTTTACTCTTTTGGTGGTCCGTGGAAGAGTCAATACTCTTTAGGAAGCCAAAGGTATTCAATCTTCTTTAGTCTTTCTTATTCATTGCCCAACTTTCGCAATAAATGCAGCCAATGAAAATACCACAACAGTCAGATGCACCTTAGTCTTTAAACTGATATCCTGTGCATTATAAGGAGGCCCAGACTTAGGACTATGCAGTAAATTACTGATTGTACAAACTGTATGGTGCTCTTCCACCCCGGCCCTTAAGGCACTGATGTTTCAAATCCAAAATCACTCTGTGGGCGACAAAAGGGAAAGTGTGCTTCCTTAAAGCTTTACCGCCTGGGAAACTATATGAAGTAGTTCTACACTATCCTTTACGATTGCTATGTGTTGAAAATTACTTACTGACAGTGGATTGAGGTTTTTTAATAACTGACTAAAAAAGTTGCTATATTATCAATATACTCAAAAAAATTACAGAGATAGAGATAATTGTAAATAGGAGAAGTCTTTGCTAAGACAGACAAAAAGATCAAAGAGACATTTTTTTTATTTCTAAACTATATTTATAAGACCAAATATGATGGTGACATAATATGCTTTCCCAACAATTCAGCTACTTGTTGGGCAGGCTGAGCTTATGTACACGGCCCTTTATTATCTTTGTGATCAAAGACTATCATTTTTTCTCTTTGGGTTTCAGTTTCTTCACCTGTAAAACAGTGTTAGGCAATTTCTAAGATCCTTTGTGTCTACAGGACTTCAGTCTATGAAATAAAAGGATAGAGCTGTTTAAAAGATACTCAGAAAAGGTAAGGTTCCTCCCCCTATATGCTTTCCCACAATTAGATTTTACATAATTAATTCTACAAGATGTTGTTGTTGATTACCATCGAGTTATAACGGATCCATAGCTGAGCCTTCAGCAGGTTTTCAGAGGTAGTTAATCGCACAGGAGGAGATTGTCCATCCTTCTCTCGCGGAGCAGCTGGTGGATTTGAACCACACTGCATGCCTTTGGGACTACAGCACAAACTCTTACTACTAAGCCACCAGAGCTTCTGATATCAAACAATAATGCTTTAAAACTCTGGATGAAGTTTCACTATTAGTTCTTATTACCAAGTTTACAACATAAACAAGTAGAAAACATCTTAAAATGTGCATTAACAGTGATAAATATGGAGCAGCACAGAATCTTTTCAAGAACCTTTCACTGAATAATTTATTTTAGGATATGACTCGGAGCCAAGACTAACCAGAATTTTAAATTTAATTTCTCGAAGAGTCTCTTCCACATCTTTATATCATTCTTTTATATCAAAATATATGTTTATGATGTTAAAAGATGACAAGGTTTTGACAAAAAAGTTCTAACGTGATTTATTTATATATTGGGGTGTTCTAGAAAGACCCTATATTAATCTAATTCCCTTTAAGGCCAAAACTAATCATAATATATAAATTCAAGGATAGAAAACCTTGAGCTATTACTACATGCTAAATTAGCATCATGTTGGAAAAACAAGAGGATATGCGAGAGAAAACAAGATGCTGAATGAGATGAACAGACAGCAGTGACAATCACAATGGCTTGAGCATAACTGAGGTCATGAAGATAGGGCAGGATAAGGTTCAGATCTGTGGCTCATATGGTCACTACGAGTTGTAGTTGACTCAACTGCCCCTAACAAGAAGTTGTGGTGCTGAAGAAGAGTACTGAATATTCCATGGACTTCCAAAAAAGAAATATATATGTCTTTGGGAAAAGTATAGCCAGAGTGCTCCTTGGAAGCAAAGATAACGAAGCTTCATCTTTCATATTTTGGACATGTAGTGAGGTAAGGCTATTCCTTGGAAAGTGACATCATTCTTGGAAAGATGAAGGGTTGGCAAATGAGAAGACGACCCCCAACAAGATGGATTGGCACAGTGAATTTAGCAATGGGATCAAGTGCATCAGAGATGATGAGGATAGCACATGATAGAGTAGGGTTCAGGTTGGCTGTCCAAAGGGCCACTATGAGTCGTATTCAATTTGATGGCACCTAACAAAAATTAGTATTTAACAGTATTTCATGTGCTAGAAAAATAATCTGTGCTAATCCAAATTCAGGATCATAATCTCACTCCAAACACATAACTCATTGTCATAGAGTCAGAATGGACTCATAGCTGTTACCCAAGCCAAGTTTACAGAGGTTGTAAATCACCTAGAAGGAGACTCTCCTATTTCCCCGGCAGGGCATGTGGTGGATTAGTACTGGCAGCACACTCCTTACCCTCCAGATCACCAGAGTTTTAAGCTTATTAGACCAAAGGAAAAAAATTGTTCAAAGATTTCAAATGTTTTCAATTTTTGATATTTTAAAACCCCTACAAAACAGATTGAAAATAAACACACACACACACACACACACACACACACACACACACACACACACCCAAAAAAACCCCAACAAACAAACCAGGTTGAAAATATCTAAACAGTATATAGAAAGTCTACTTGAAATGAATAATGGTTGGATAAAGTGACATTAAAGTAATATCCATCATTCCTGAACTTAATTCAGATTAAAAATGACAACTTTTCTAACCTCTTATATCAACACAAGAGGGTCAAGCAAAGGCAAGGAAATATTAAGAAGGAAAAGGAGATTATTAAAACAAAGTCAAGAGTAGCTGATGAAGGGGAACAAATGCTGGGAATACTATCTGGCTCAATCTACCTGTTCCCTGATATATGTCTCTGTCAAGAATTTTGGGCAAATATACAGAATTATTTTATCTAGATTTTGATAGTACAGAATCTCTGAACCCTGCTGTGTTAATTATTTAAGAAAAATAATTAACTTTTAGGGCTGTAAATATTGCTTCAAGATGGAAAAATGAGGTTTGCTGCTGTATGTGCCATCTAGTCACCTGCAACACATAGTGCCCCTATGTACAACAGCTCTGAAGCCTGCTCTGTCCTGAGCTAGTCTCACTAACTCCAACACACCTACACCAATTGTCCCAATTACTTTATCAATTCATCTCATCTGGGCTCTTCCTCTCCTTTACTGTCCCTCTACCCTTACGAGCATGATGTCCTTCTCCTAGGATTGGCCTCTCCTGCCCACATGCCCAAAGTATGAGAAACAGAGCTTCAAAATCCTAGCCTCCAAGGAGAAACTTGGTTTCAGCTTCTGCAAGATAGACCTTATTGTTTTCTTGGTGGTCCATGATATGATCAAGACTCTTCTCCAGTATCACAACTCAAAGACATTGATTCTTCTTCTGTCATCCTTAGTCACTGTCCAGCTCTCTGATTCATAGCAAGTAATTGCAAAGACGATGGCCTAGATCAGGCACATCTTAGTTTATAGACTGACATGACTGCTTTTCAGGACTCTGGAGAGGTCCCTGACAGCAGATTTTCCCAATGAAACTTGGTTTTTTGTTTATTTGTTTGGTGTTTTGGTTTTTGGTTTTTTTGATGGCGTTAAGAGTGTTGATTGTGTAGTCAAACAAACTAAAGCCATTAATAATCTAAATCTCTTAATCATCCATCATGATGCTGCTAATTGACCCAGTGGTGAGAGTCTTTGTTTTCTTGATGTTGAGCTTCAATCCATATTGAAGGCTGCAGTCCTTGACCCTCTGCAGCAAGTGCTCCAGGTCCTCCTCAATTTTAGCAAGCAAGCTTGTGTCACCTGCATAAGATGTTGATAAGTCTTCATCCAATACTGATGCCACATTCCTTCTCATAAATCCCAGCCTCCTGAATGATTGGTTCTGTATATAGATTGAAAAGTTATGGAGACAGGACACGTCCCTGATGCATTCATTCTTGACTTGACCATGCAGTATTTCCTTGCTCTGTTCTGAGGACTGCTTCCTGGTACCAGTATAGGTTTTGTATAATATGCACAATCAAGTGTTCTGGGATTCCCATTCTTCTTAAGATGAGCAATAATTTGTTGTGATCCACACAGTCAAATGCCTTTGTATAGTCAATGAAACAGACAGACATTCCTCTGGTACTCTTTGCTTTCTGCCAAGGTCCATATGACCTTGGTGATAATGACTCTCATGTAACAACGTCTTCCAAACCCAGCTTGTATTTCTGGTAGTTCTCTGTCAATGTACTGTTCCAGTCATTTTTGGATAATATACAGCAGGATTTTGTTTGCATGCGATATTAGTGACACTGTTCGATAATTCCCACACTCTTTGAATCGATCTTCTCTTATGCAATGATAGAAACAATAAAGACCATTTCAAAAATCAACAGCTGACCTAGAAAACAAAACTGGGAGGGTCTTTCAATATACTATAAATTGTGAGATATCTCTGAGAGATTATGAAACAGCACACTGTATCTAAACACGTATTAGGTAAAAACAAAAATGACATTTCACACTAAGAATGGGAACTAGAAAAAAGGGTGCTGTG